ATTTATTCAAATAGTTTGTTGCACTGTTCAATGCGTCTGTCCTTAAGAGAACTCATGTTGTACAATGTGAGGTTCTCAACATATGGAAGGCCGGGAGATATTATTGAAAGCGCGCGCTTCTGAATACGCTCTGTCGTCGCTCAAATACGCAGGCAATACATGGTGGTATAAAGGTGTGCAGTACTCTAATACCGGCCTAATGCAGGTATGATAGAAAATGATCATATCACGGGCCGGGACCTCGGCACGCTTAAGGAAAATAATGAAAAACATCTTGATTACATCAGAAACGTGCTCATTCCATTAAAGGCTGCTAGATAAAGTAACGCCTAATACATTTGCGTCGTTCACAAGTTGAGTTACGTGTTAGACGATCCAAGTGCGAAACAAAGAAAAAGTTCACAGGTTCTTACACCGAGGTAAACCCAACTTAACTGAGCCAGACGCCCACCCAAACGTCGAACTTTTCGTGAATTTAACTCACTGAGTTTGGATCATCTCATGAAAAGTTCGACGTTAATGGCCTAGGCCTGTAGGGATAACCAAAAAAAAACTAGACATGCAAAGTATTATCATATAGGGCACATAGCTAACTAGCCTACGTAGCTGGCGGTTCTTTGTATGTGCAGGGTGAAGGAAAGCCGTGAGGTTTTGTTTACCCAATTCAGAGCACGTGATGTTCTCAAGGTAAATTGCCTTTTGTCTTTTCATGTTATGCATATACATGTGCACGTGATCCACGTGCACAGTTCTCTGGGGTACCATTACTGGGTCTAAAATGGGAAAACAAAACCTACAAGCTAAAAAGATCTATTGGAAAGTAAACTAGGAGTAATCGGAGCTTAGGAGAGTGCGCTCGATATGTTTGTTGAGGCGGAAGGGTGGTTGCGATGTAGATAAACATGATTATGGCATATTTTGAACGTAAGGGTTGCGTACAGCAAAACCTCTATTTAAACTGTGTATCATTTTAATAACGTTTTCAAAAGATATCGTGTGGCTCGGTGTCAGGTGCTTTTAATCGGAGGAGACATTGGCCAGCGTCGGACGTGTAAATGGAACATTTTGTTTTACTGGCGCGAGTTACAGGGTGCAGTTTCTCAAAGGCCGATTAGTTCTTAACCCGGGATCCTTTTTCTTTCTTCAAAAACATTTCTTTGGATAATTTTCTCTGTTATTTTTAACAGCATCCAATCATCAACTTGTGACACTTGTTGACAAAATGAATTACATTAAATTTACTGGGTTAAAAACTTTCACATCTGAATTCAAACTTCGCATTAACCCTATCAAAGCCTTCAATGGAACGTGTGTGCGGCTCACGTCAATAACTTTTCCAGTAATTGGTCGAGCTTGTTGATTTCAGTGACTCGAGAGTGGCGCTACTGTGGGCTGATTTATAAGTTTTTTCTAATAAATAACATAGAGTTAAAGTGTTCGTTTGTCCGGTGCCGAAAATATCACAAGTCATGGTCAAATGGCGCCGCCGAGCTTCACATCTCGGTAGATTTATACTTTGTGGCACAACGGCTGCCGAGCTACACAACTCTGTAGATTTACTTTGTGACAAAACGGCCGCCGAGCTACACAACTCGGTAAATTTACTTTGTGGCATAACGGCCGCCGAACTAAATGATGCATGCACCAGTAGTCGCAGACATTTTCCAAAGACAGTGACGAACCATGCTGAATAAGATGAAGGCTTAATCCAAAGTAATATTTAACAGCAAACTCCTGAAAGATGAACGCTTTGGACGATTCAGCAATCACAGATCGATGTACGCTTTACAAACATTCAGCAAACTTTTTAAAAGATGAACGCTTTACGAAGAATATCGGACCTTAGGAAACCTTTGAAAGATGAACGCCGAGGACACAAGAATCACCACATGAGTTAGCGCGTCAGAGTGAGGCAAAACTTAAGCAAGCGCCTCAAAGCGAGGCAAATGTGTGTCGACGACGACGAACGAAAATGCAATCTCAAAAAAGGCCTCCCTTAGTAATTGCACAGGTCACCCAATAATGGACAGAACACCCAACACAAATCTCGTACCTCGAACGCAAAAATTACCGTAATATCTATTCTCCGGGGCTAGGGGCATTCCTAGAATGTTTAATTAGATGTGTACCGCACGCCTCCCAAAATTGTACCTTAATAGTAATAATAATAATAATAATAATAATAATAATGATAATATTAATAACATCCTCGGAGACCCAGGGGCAGATAGTGAGGGCGAAAGTCTAAACGGGCGGCACGAAGAAAAGTAAAGAACGGCGAGAAGAGCCCCTGGGGACAATGTCTTACCAGACCAGTTCCAAACGGTTGCCGCCGTTCTGGCTTCTGATTGGTGCCAGAAAAACACAAGTTTGACATTATCCCAAGGGGCTCTTCTCGCCGTTCTTTACTTTTCTTCGTGCCTTATTTTCCGCCCGTTTAGACTTTCCCTCGCCCCCACTATCTGCCCCTGGGTCTCCGAGGATGTAAATGGCGCTCTTCACCCCAGGTCCAATGTAAGCCGCTTGTACCTACCAAGAAGAGAAGGAGGGCGTGGACTAATTAGTGTTGAGGATGCCATTAATATTGAAGAAAGAAATATCAATGTCTACGTCTGCCAGAGCCAGGAACGGTTGTTGAAAGCTGCATGGAAGAGGAAGAATGTCAATGAAATTGAAACGCCAAAGGAATATAAGGAAAAGATGAAGAGGAAAAGAACTGAGGACTGGTCTGGAAAGCAGCTGCATGAGCAGTTCAAGAGAGAGACAGATGACCTATCTGGTGTGTCTTGGGAGTGGATAAGAACTGGTGAACTGAAGAAGGAGACAGAAGGGCTTATTTTTGCCGCGCAAGATCGGGTACTAAAAACAAACGCCGTAAAAGCCAGAATCGAAAACCAAAATTTATCATCCAAATGCAGAATGTGTGGTAGCCACGATGAAACTGTGCAGCATATTTTGTGTAGTTGCCCCAAGCTTGCGCAGACAGAATATAAAAAGAGGCATGATGTTGTTGGGCGGGTCATTCATTGGTAGGTGTGCAAGGAATATGGAGTTGAGTGCAGTGACAAATGGTATGAGCATTCCCCCAAAAGCGTAGAAGAGAATGAGGAGGTTAAACTGTTGTGGGACTTTACCATCCAAACAGACCGTGAAATCCATCACAGGAGGCCAGACATTGTAATTCAGAAAAAGAAGGCAAAGGAAACAATCATTGTGGACATAGCTGTTCGCGGAGATAGTAATATTCTGCAGAAAGAAACTGAAAAGTGTGAAAAGTACCAAGACCTGGCAAGAGAGATTTAAAGGATCTGGAAATCAAGGACAAAAGTGGTGCCAGTGGTTGTAGGTGCATTGGGTTCAGTATAAAAGAAACTGGCAGGCCACTTGGAGCAACTAGGAATTAAAAACCGAACATGAACGATGCAAAAGTCGGCACTCATCCGATCGGCACATATCCTCAGAAAGGTGCTGGAAGTCTGAGGTCTCGGGATGAGACTTGACTGGATATTTCTCCCCAGGGAAAATCCCTGTGCTAAATTTTACATAATAATAATAATAATAATTTAATAACTTCTAGAGCGCTATTTACATTCACTGATCAACAGCGCTTAACAACTTAAAAAAACTACAATAAAATTCAACTTTGTAAAACTAATTACATGTACATAAATATTAACAAAGTATACTAGAAAGACGTAAATCGCAGGACCTCGCGAACGACTTCGGGGTTACGGCAAGTAAGCCGAGAAAAAAATTGTAAATCTAAAAAATTGCAAGCTATATATAGAAACATAACAAAACTGTTATACATAAAATGAAAATTAAAGGAAAAGAAAAAGGAAAAAAAGACGAAAAGAAAAGAAAAGAAGCGAAGAGAAAAAGGTTATATCCGGAATCGAACTCGGGACCTCCGACACACCGAGCCAAAGGCCACGTGGAGCACACACGACGATATGTCGAAATTTTATTATTAAAACCTTCGAGCCTTATTAAACGTAAATTCAAAGATATTTTTCAGAAGAATGACTGCAGTTTCGACAGTGAAAACCCAACGAAGATGCATTTCGTCGTTTGCTCTTAAAGTACTTTAGCATTCGAAATTCATTGAGTGATGTTCCCTCTGTTCCGCTGTTTGTTGATGCCGTCTCCATCTTTGTTGCTTGGGCCGTTGAATTTCAAGTCGGCGTTCTCGCTCCAGAGGATTTTTTGGTGTCAAATCTTCCCCTAAGAGGATTGGCAATTCCGCGTTCTTGTGTTTGCTGTTCTGTTTACACGAGAAAGGGCTTGAGATTCACCGATAGTAAACATTGTTTTGCAGACGATGAAAAGACAGCTCTTCATGAATACTTTGGTCATTGATGGAATTCGAAATCGCTTTCAGTCGAATATTACCTAGAAACAAAAATGCGTCGTGACGTCAAACTACTGTATGACGTCATGGCGGAGACCATCGGATATATACAAGCCCTGATATACAAGTAAAGATGAGAGCTGCGAGTTTGCAGCTCGCTAGGACCCACACGCGGTTGGCGACGAGATTGTAAACTCACTTCGCTCGGCGCTTCGCGAAGAATTAATAATAATAATATAGAATATTTATAATAAACTTACTTAGTAATACTAATAAAGTGTATGTCAAACAGGTTACGTTGTAAAAGCTGCACGTAATAAATAAGTTTTCAGCTTACATTTAAAAATAGCTAATGATTGAATATCACGTAATTCAGCCGGCAAACTATTCCATAAATAGTTTGCATATTTCATCTTTGTTTGCATATTTCTGGCTAACATTTCTATTTAGGCCCCTGCTATTCAAAAGACCATTGTTTTCAAGATAAAAACGATGGAAAACATTTCCCAACCGAGGTTACAAAGTGCACAAACGCTGGTAATCTTATTAAAACCATCACGGTCAAAATGTATCACCAATTAGACCAAAAGGGGCAAAAAAAACAAACCCTTCTGCAAGTTTCAAGAGTGGTACTGGCCCAAAGAAAGCCCTATTGAAGAGCAAGCATTGGACTTTGGTCTTCCCATTCTTCTTCTTCTTCTTCCCATACCGATGGGTATCCAATCCTGGTGATAGTACCCCCTTCAATGCCTGTAAAGATTTCAGTTTGTTTGCTTCGGACATTGTAGATTGTCAGTTTCTTTGTCCTCAGGTTGAGGAAAACAATGAACACATCATTGTTTTTAACAGAAGTGATGGATGGAACTTGACCATCTGATCGACTGGAATGGCATGGTTTCGTATGTGCACTGTACTTCCAGGACCACTTTGCTTGTTGTGCAGAACCAAAGCCATAAGCACATACTGGAAACCCATACTGCTGTTGTGCAGATCTCGAGGTAGGATAACCATACCCCCAGGCTGAATTATAGTTAGAAGCAGTTACCCCTATTTCTAGCTCAGAAACTATCTGATTCGAGAAAGACGTTAACTGTAGTTTCCAACAATACATGCCTCCCGTGAAGCCTGAGAGCCCTGGGCATGGAACAAGACCTTTTCTTTGCGGTGAACTTGCTCCATCTGGAAGTCCTGAAATAACATTCCATTCAAAGGGACTTCCACAAACCTCTTGCTTTTCAACCCTGACTGACAGATTTACTTTACCTGCTTCCACTGGATGATAGGAGAAACTGTAAGACCCATCACCATTATCACGCACGGGAACTGGAGAAACTGGATGCAAGTAACCTGGCTCAGCATAAAAGGAAACCATGGCTTCCACCTGATGGCCTCCTTTAGGTTGTTTCTGACCTTTTTTGTCTTTGAGAAGTAACAACAATTCAACTTCTTGTCCAGCCAAGGTTTGGTACATCTCGCCTTCATCTCCTCCCAACATGCTGACAGTGCATTTTTGGGGATCAAGGGGGACGTAACACACACTTAGTAGTTTTTCCATGTGCCAAATGGTTTGGTGCACTTGAAGCTCCAGATAGTCATCCATGCAGGGTTTACACGAGGTCTTTGATGAATTCAGCTGGTGGAGCTGCTGGACTAGTTGCTTTTTCATGGCCAAAAGCTTGACATCATCTCCATCTTGTAAGGCCTGATCAGTAAAGCTGATGCCACTTTTCAACTGAGCCAGAAAAGAGGAAAGCACTTCTGCTTGGTTCTTTAGCTTGCTGACTCTTATTTGACCCTGGGTGGAAACTTCATGCTTAATATTTGCACGGTAGTAATTCAGTGCTTTCACCTGTTCATCAAAAAAGGTATCAATCTCTTTGTTTACCTCAGACACTCTTTCCTCTACCCCATTTTTCATCATCTGGACAGCTTTTAGACCTTCAACAACTGTACGCAATTTGTCTTTGGCTTTCGTGAGAAAACCTCGAATGATTCCTTTTTCTTTTTCAGCCACTTCTGTTACAAAATCGTACTTGTGTTCACGATGATTAACAATGGTACAATCACGACATATGGTTTTCTGGCAGGTGTTACAGAATAATTTCAGTGTCTCACCTTTATGTTTGGAACAAAACATTGGCTTGGCGAGGGCCTTTGCACCAAGTTTCTTTACTTCTGTCAGAGATAAAATCTGGTGATTCTTGGTGGCATTGATTCTCTTGTGCGCAGTAACACAAAACTCACACATGAAAACACTGCAGTCAGAGCAACGCGAAACTGCGGAGTCGCCACTGTCACAGTGCTCACAGTTCAGTGGGTGCCCTGTGGATGATGCCCCATCTTGCATGCTCAATAAGGTCATGAAGTTGTTCACCCAAAAATTTGATTGCAGCTTGCTTGCATCTCCACCGGGAACCTACAAAACACACTGGGTAATAGAACTTGCAAATAATAATAATAATAATAATAATAAATAAAAGTGAAAAAATTTTATTGACAACAATGCTAACTATTAAAATCCTATTTACAATTAATTTATTCATTCAAAACACTATTTACAATTCCCGTCGAAAAAAGACAATAGAAAACGGATCAAGTTGCGTTTCCCGTCTCCACTACGATGAGGCATCTTTTTTAATTATTGGGGGGAGGGTGAATCATTAATTCAAAACAAAATCCTGCAAACAGACTTGTAATGAAAACTAATATTCTTGCGTGAGGGTATATTAGTCTTACATTTAACCAAAGAAAAATTAAGAAAAAATCTGACGCTACGATCAGTTTCTTTTAAGTTTTTCTTCACTTTATCTTGAAGCTTAAACCTTTGGATGAATGAACGTGATTGCAAATCTCCCTCTGGGAGTCAGCCGGCTTGTGCATGCATTGAATGAGAATGTCTGTGAAGCTATCGTATGGCACTTTATTCATTGTCTTCTTCAAACGATTGTAGGATGAGTGGCTTTCAATGTTTCATTTCACTTTATGAGAACGTTCAAACCGTTTAATAAGTGCTTCCTCTTCCAACATGTGACAGAAAATGTCTCTGATGTTTATATTGCTATTCTCTCCATGCGTGTGGAAAGTCATTCTTCAGGTGATTCCTTACAAGAAAGGAAGATGCTATTTGAAGGTCGCACCATTAAATGGAAACATTTTCACTTGGATTATTTTTTTTAAAGTCAAAGGGGCTTGATAAAGTACAACATTCAACAGAAACAAAACTAAAACTAAATTTCCTTTGCTAGTTTTGAGAAACAGAATACTGCTGGCGGTATTTCACAAAAAATTGACCCTGTGATGTTTTAAAAGCGTAGAAGGACAATAACTTTTGGAATTACCAGTTAGATCAAATTAGTCACGTAATACTGTCACACTATCTTAGGGCTTCTTGAGTGACTGGCCAAAAGAACATCTACACAGTCAGGAAGCTTGTTTTTAGGGGCAGAGCTAAAGAGCGATTCATGGGCGAAGGGGATGCAGTGTCTGCACGGGAAATGCCCCAGTTAAAAATAGTGCCAATCAATTCTTGTTTCAACGGGCTAACTAGCCTATTTTTATCCATAACAGTAGAGGTTACTGTACATCCCCCCACTTAAAAATGGTACTGGTAAGTGCAAAACGTATTTCATAAACTAATCTTACAAACGGACTTGTAAGAAAAACACCATTCTTGCATGGAGTTTACTGTTAATATTTTTAGTCGCCACTCATGGCCTTTCAGGACTAATTTAAATGAGATGATGACACAACTTCAAATGACAATAATAAATTATAATTATATAATTTATCTCTATCCCATGATGGGATAGAAGTAGCTATGCACTCAAGCTGGGAAAGGTGTGATTATAATCTATAATTCCCAAAATATTAAACCTCTCCATTGTGCAGTCTGCAGCTCAATGAACCCCCTTTATGAGGTCTTGTTCCCTGGGGAAATCCCATTTTAGTCAAACCAATAAATTATTGAGGTTCTTTGGTTTTATTGCTATCAATGCACATCAATAAATCATTCTCATTATTATTATGAATCATAACCATCATCATCATCATCATCATCAATAATTGAAAGCCTTTGAAATTACGACCCCACTTTAATAGCTGCCCCAACCCCCCGCCCCTCCCTCCCAACTTAACTTACTTTTGAATCCTGCCGGCACTCAGGACAAGTTATAATGTGATCAGATCGTTGTTTTTTCACCAGTTTTGCCAGGCATGCTTTACAGTAAGTGTGCAAACATGGCAGAACCTTTGGTTCCTTAAACTGTTCCATGCAAACAGCACAAGTCAACCGTTCAATAACTTCTTCTGATACAACACTAGCCATTGTCAGTCTGAAAAGTGAATGACAAAAAAATGGCATAAATCTTTTGCATTAGCATCCTTATTCAAATATTTGCAAAAAATCAATGTCAAAATGCTAAGGCCAGTTCTAATGTCAGTCAGTGAAAAATGTTGCGGACTATTGTTTTCACCATGCAAATGAGAATGTGACAATAATAGTCCCATTGTTTTCTAACCCTAAAAACAATAGTCCACAGTCAGTCCGCAATCTGCATTTTACACTGCCCTGTTCTGATATTACACTGCTACCATGCCAAACCAAATGATAGAATTAAATTTAGTCTTCAGCATGGGAGTGGAACAGTAAAAGACTAGGCTTTGGCACATTACTTTGAGGATAATAGCATGGCAACAGCATTTTAGCAAGATTTTTGTACCATATTTAAAAAGGAAAAATTTGTCTAATGTGATAAAATTAACCGAGAAACAGCAAAACACATATATTTCTACACATAGGTTTCTAGCCAAAACTAGAGAGAGCCTGGGTCTAGTCGATGCCCACATTCAAACTGGTCAGCAGTTCAGCATGTGCAGCCACCATTTTGTTTGCTTTATATTCCAGTATGGATGGCTCAGACAAAACTAAACACTCTCAAACCAGTAGAAGCATAACTGTTGCAAACAAAGCCTGTACACTTTGAATCAATGTTACATGTTTTGTGTTATGCTTATTGCTGTTGGTGCCCAGCCTTGATGTAATTTTCAGGTTTCTATTAAAATACATTCTAGTTACTGAAACTTTTTGTGTCTACTATTGTGTATATATTGATGGAACTTTCAAGCATTTTAGCAAGGCCATAAAGAGCATAAATAAATAGTAAAAATTTTGAGCTTTAAGCATTAGCATAATAGCTAAAAATAAAAGAATATTGTGCCAAAGCCTATAATAGACCATTTTAGATGTATTAAAATTCATACTTGGCTCATCAGAAGCTTAAGAAAATAAAACAAAAGAAATAATATTTATTATTTATAGCTGAGCCTCATGATTATTTCTTTTGTTTTATTGCCCCAAGCCTCATAGCCAAGTACGAAAATTGGTAAAAGCAGGTGCAAATTAGTGTCTGAATGCCAACCACCACCTATAAGGCCCTTGCATTTAGGGTGAATAAAATTTAGGGTGAATAAATCCACGGCAATTAATATTCACTTTCAAGTGTGCCCTCGATCTGTCAGAGACATGCCCCTCCCCAGGGAGGTTAGGGGGCATGTTCCATGGAAAAGTTTGAAATTCTGTAGTTGCATTCTGGAGCTACAGACAATGTCTTACAACTACCAAAAAAGATAAATTTATTGTTTTCTAAACAACATATATATATATTAAATCATGACTTGATACCAATTTTTGTCCACCACTCAAATTGGTTCTCTTCTAATAGTTCCTAATCTTATTGATGTATTGTTAACTGACCTCTTGGCCTTTTCTCCCCTGGAGGCAATTTTGGTGGAGACAAAAAATATTCAGCGATCGAACACCTTCTTCCTGGGCTGCCATGGCTCAGACACTTGCAACATTTTAGATGGTCTTTTAAGGGACACAGTTCTTTTCACAATGCATTTTGGGTATTCTTGTTGTTAACACAAAACAAATGGGTGGATTTCATGCTGTGCATGTGATAAAGAGCAAATTTGACAGTAAAGCATGTTTCACTTTCAAGAAGACTCATCAAGAAAATGGCATATGATTGTAACTCAAAACTGTTTTTGATCATTCCTAGTATTAAAAAAAGTTCTTTGAGATGTTAAGCAGCCTGGCAAAGTTGCATTTTCAGCCGGCCAATAATTTGCCCGGCCCTTAATGAAATCCTGGGTCTGTAATCACAGGCTAGAGAAAACATTAGCTAGGCAGTAGATGCCGATAATTGTTTGAAATGAGCTTAAACACTTTTCACTGATCATTTTACATCACAATCCTGAAAGGGACAAATAACCAGTTTTTATCACCTGTCTCTTTTTTATAAAAAAATATGTGAGAGTCCCCTTCAGTCCTTCCTAACCTGAGATCAGGCGTTATTATCTTTTTTTGGCTTCTTTGCTTCTTTGGCTCGAGAGAGGAAAAAAATAAGACCTGATACATTCATTTAACAAGCCATCAACCGCCCCCTAATTTACATAATCTAACGTCTGCTTGACCTGTCATGTTATTAGCCGATCAGCATTTACCAGTTGGGAATCAAATTTTGGCATGAAATCAATTTTCGGGAAAAGAAAATTTAAACTTAAACAGTTTTACCAAGGTTGGGGACTCCAGTGAGACTGCCCGATGGATCCACTGAAGGAAAAAGGCCGTAAATTCGCTGCAATGGCTCCAGTCGCCTCCAAATTCCGCCTAGGCAACACAAGATAGTTCTTCTTCCCATTCGTTATCTTACTTCAAGACGCCTTTGCACTGAGAGCGAATCAAAGGTCGCAAATCTCTGTAACCTTTCCCAACTGAAGCCATCGACAGAACCTTGGCTTGAACTCTGCGTTACCGTTGAAAGATAGCGACATGGCGTGAGACTCAAATTACTCACCCTCAGGGTGGGGGACAGTCTCTTGCTCCCGTTGACATCAATGCCCAAGAACGAAAACAACGGGAGCAAGAGACTGTCTCCCACCCAGAGTATGAGCAATTTGAGTCTTCCTATACAAATCCTAATATTTCGAATGTTACGTAACAATGCCGATGTTTGCCGATGCTCATATTTCTAGCTTGGGCTACCTGTGCTAACACTTCAGTCTCGAGTCAAAGGACGCAGCATATGTCAGCATCCTTTGTGAGCAGACAAATAGTCATGGGACACGAGATTTTAAGAGCGGCATTGATCTATAGGCAGAATTCCCTAATGCAGTTCAAAATAATGCCAATTGTTTTTTGTTTCATAAGGCTAACTTGCCTATTTTTATCCCCACAGCAGAAGTCACTAGTATACAGCCCAGGCTTGTGGGGGCCTTGTATAACACATTCCTGAATTAATAAAAGACCTAAAAAACTTATAAGAGACATAATCTCCAGGAGTTAGCCACCTCTTCAACAAAATCAAAACCAAAACCAAAACTAATAACCTATATTATTATGAAAATGTCTCTCTTTCTTAAAAATGTGAATGGCATGCTAATTTTAAGTATGAAATGCATAAAACATAAAAAATGGCATGGTGATTTTAAGTATGAAATGCATAAAACAGTACTCCACGTCTTCTGACATTTCATTGACAAAGGGAATTAGTTTATGCCTTGCAGCAATTGCTCAAAGACAGTTATGTTATTGTCCTATCTTTGGTTTTCGTCCTCTGAACACTTTCTTAGTGTGAAAATGCGTCAATTCCAGTTTCCGTTCGTCACCTTCAAAAACCAAACGCTTAGCAGAAGTTAATAGTATTGGGCTATTGCATTTAATATCACCCCCCCCCCCCCCCGATAGAGACCCATCAATTATTCCCCGAAACCGAGAGACGCG